CATAAGATAAGATAAGATAAGATAATATTTATTGCAGAAACGTTCCATTACGGGACAGATGCAATTTTAAAAGACAAGACATTATGATTTATATATACATATATACAGACAAACATAATCTACATTTCTGTAGACACATACAAAAACAAAATAATCAATATGTTATGCATGGTTCATGTTCCATATCGAGGATATTTTGGTCATTTGACTGCCTTTGAAGCTCAACCTTAAAAACAAAAGTTATGTACCTACAATCACAATAACTTTGAATCTTTACTGAAGTTTGACACAACTATATCATGTATATATGTTACACTTCATAACATTTCAAGATTGGATTTCGTTTTGATAGTTATATTTTGCCATATTGCCAGTAATAGTAATAAAAATGTCCACCAACGGCAGTGGATTGTGAATACATTCGGTAGCATGTTCAATTCCCTTCATATATTTTTCATATCATCCCTCAATCTAAGTGCTAGGGCTGCTAAGGGTAACTCGGGTACTGAGAAGGACCCGGGTACCCACAGGACTACCTGGACCCATGGTCAGTCATGTGATGTATAGTTTAATGACAAAAATTATCTAGAACTCTATGGTTACACTACAAGTCACTAATGTTCACATTTCTTTCTGACTATGCACCCATTCCTTCTGACATTTCATATGGTTGAATAAAGATATAACTTAAGTCAACTTTAGTGTATGCATGACCAGATCGTTTAATACATGTATCTAAATACATTTTGTAGGTGCTGTGGTTAAAAAAATACCCAATCAGACATTTTGTATCTCTTGTTTGTCATAGAAGTATAAATGAAAGGGTTGTCATATATTGTCAGACTGTTATGCACACCTATTGACCCTGTGATGTTGGTGAAGCTGATTCCTCATCTGTTCTCCTTGGCACACGATCTTATTGCTGAGACAATCGTAACTCCTGTACTTTAACATAGACTTACAACAATCGTAACTCCCATAATTTAACATAGACTTACAACAATCATAATTCCCATACTTTAACATAGACTTACAACAATCGTAACTCCCATACTTTAACATAGACTTACAACAATCGTAATTCCCATACTTTAACATAGACTTACAACAATCGTAATTCCCATACTTTAACATAGACTTACAACAATCGTAACTCCTGTACTTTAACATAGACTTACAACAATCGTAACTCCCATACTTTAACATAGACTTACAACAATCATAACTCCTGTACTTTAACATAGACCTACAACAATCGTAACTCCCATACTTTAACATAGACTTACGATAATCATAATTCCCATACTTTAACATAGACTTACAACAATCATAATTCCCATACTTTAACATAGACTTACAACAATCGTAACTCCCATACTTTAACATAGACTTACGACAATCGTAACTCCCATAATTTAACATAGACTTACAACAATCATAATTCCCATACTTTAACATAGACTTACGACAATCATAATTCCCATACTTTAACATAGACTTACGACAATTGTTACTCCCATACTTTAACATAGACTTACAACAATCGTAACTCCCATTCTTTAACATAGACTCACGGCGATCGTTGCACAAAAGTCGCTTTGTGGAATGAGGCCCTAGACAAGAAGAAGGTGATTACCTCCTGCGGCCATCATCCTCCCTTCTTGCCTTCACACACATTCAGCATATACTAGGTGCTGCTTTCCTGCAGACTCATGATAGATAGGTTACATCAAGCAGATCCTTGAATAACTAAGGGATGCAACTCTGCAGAGTGGGTTGAGAGGGAGCTAACTGTGCCCCTGTGGTTTCGAATAGATGGCGAATAGTATACACATTCCCAATACCAGGGTTAGAAATTAATTCCTATTTTCACTAGTCTGTTAAAATGATATTCTATGGAGTTGCCAAGAGTGGTGGTCTACAATGAAATATTACCAGTCCTTCCATAATTGTCTCTGACAAATGTTAGTTTCAAATCGTGATACTATATATATAAACCAGACATTTAGGACAAACAGCTGGTTTATCACTTCCTGAAGAAATGTGTTTTTCTAATATTTCTATTTTTAAAGGAGCTAATATTTCAATTTCAGATGTAGTAAGAATTTTATACAGGTTATCATATTCATTTTGTAAAAGTTTATTTTTACATGTGTTTCAAAGGTGTGGGGACATTTTCCTGTGTAGACATCAGAGCTCCGGAAGTGGAGAACAAATGAACCATGTCAGGGCTTGTATTTTTTGTGTTCACAAGCCACAAACCACATCAGGCCTATCACATGTTAAACTTGTCTTCACTCGTGTCTAAAAGCACCATATGTCTGGAGCTGTTGAGAAGGATTGGCCCATGATGTAATACCTTCTCACAAGTTCTTCACAGTCAACATAGTTATCTTACACACTTATCTTACACAATTATCGGAGTGGAATTAAATTAGCTGTAATCATTGTCTTTTTACCATGTTTATACTAAAAAACACTGGCATGGTTTTATGGGTTTGTCACATCTAAACTATGTGGATGTTGGAAAATTAGGCTCATTGTAGCGCTGTTTTGAAGATATTGAATAACATCAACTGTTAGATGAACAAGTAGTGTAGGTCTGTAGGAAGTGATAGGTTTTCAACACTCTGTTGCCATTGGGTTTGTGAAAACTTTAGTTATCAGCTCCTAGATTGAATATGGTGATATCAAACCATGTGGGCAGTGGGAGGTCACAAGCCTGCAAAGCAAATACGTAATTGATATTAAGAAACTAAAAGAGCACGGTGAGCAAATTGAGATTAGAGAAATCTTGAAAATGTGAAATGTTCTTCATCTCATCTTTTCTGTTTAAGGCCATTAAGAAATAGAGCTTTTGAATTTAGCAGGGTTAGGTTGAAGTGGTTGGGAAATCAAAATATATGAGTAGAATGTGACCTACCCAGATCTACCAACTCACTCACTCACTCACCCACTCACTCACTCACCCATCTACCAATTGACTCACTCACTCACTCACTCACTCACTCACTCACTCAACACAACGCACTCCTGTAATTTAGGCTGCGAATACATGTTGAGAGACATATTCCCCCAACACCCAACACCCATAAGTATTAAGTATGGAATAGTGCTGACTGCCTGTAGACCTCAACAAATGCATTAAAACTGAAGATTGCTATCATGTGACATGTGAGATGTCTGCATGGGCCACCGGTGCTTGTCAGCCAGTGCTGCTTCATGTCCACTCAAGTGTTTCTCAGGTCACAGATCTCACTTCCTGTGAGAACATCATGGGTCCATTATCAGATCCTCATACACCTTCCCTTTCCTGTCTCAGGCTGTGCTTCTAACACTAGTCCTGCTCCATGACTGTGGAATTTATAGTTTTTAAATTATTTTTACTAAAAGTCTAAGGCAAGTCTAGATAAAACTAAACCAAGTCTAGTTTCCTTGATTCACATGACTGAAAACAGCAGAGGGGGAAAGATTCTTATGGAAACAAAAATTATAATAATTAGAAAGAAATGTTTTCATAGAAGTATTAATGTATTCTAGCAATTGTTAGTAGTGTTACAAACTTCAACAGTAGATCTATGTACTATGGCAGTGAAGAAGAAGAAGAAGATTAATTGTACATAAATACCTAGTCTGTCTTACAGACCCTGATACAAAAATATATCAAATACCGCCCATGCAAGTCTATAATGTTTGGCAAGTCTAGATAAGTACAGTATCAGGAAGAGAGTCACTGGGCTCCCTTTTATTATATTTTTATTAAGATAACTGAACAACTGTTTTTTTTTCTGTACGATATGTTCATTTCAGAGACTAGATAGTGGTCTAATTAATACCCACAGGGGGCAGGTTACAAATCATGAACATGGCTAGTTATAGCGAAACGTTACAAACTTTGAAATACACCATGTGATACGTATATTGCTATTGTTAAGGTGATGTGGGGTGGCGTGATTTGTTTAGGTTTCCAGAAACAGTTCAATGGACTTGATGAGACGTTCTTGCAGTGCGATCAAGTGAATGGGTTTACTTCTTTAAGATCAGATCTTTTACTCCGATGTGATACCTTGATCTCTGCTTGAAGATCCTGTCAGGTGACCTCTGAGCGAACTTTGACTGTTCAATCTAAATTAGGGATGTGTGGGTTCTTTAGGCAATCAGATGTCAGCTGTCTAAAACAATTCGTCAAAAACTCCTTGATAGTATTTTGGGTGTAGATGCCATGTCACTCAAAAATGACAGAATGCATGAAATATGCACAGCAATATAATAGCACAGCTTTATTATTTTGCATTTAGAACTCCCCAATTATTTTCAGTTTCGAGATGCAGAAATAAGATATTCTTGTCTGAATTCTTTGCTCCGTCACTGATGCTGATATGCTGATCAGAAAGTTTATGGGGTGTTCTAAGATCTGTACGAACAGAGGTATCATATTGCAGTAAAAGTTCTGATTTTAATGAGATTGGTGTTGTTGACAGCTTTGGCAATATGTGAACCGGATAATCAGCGATAATCTCCGATATGAAATCAGATTTGTTACGAACCAATGGCTGATACAAGTCCCGACACAACATCAAGGCAATCACGTATTCAGGCCGTATTCAAAGGTAGCAGCCACTGTAGCCATCTGGCCCTTACTTTTAGGAAATTTTCACAATAAGCATGATAAAAGGAATTGTGTGGTTGGCAGCCCTGTAGGGACGCAGGAAGCAGACTAGGGTAAGTCTTCTGGTTGTGTCATCAAGCAGCCCTGTTAGTTTCAAGCAAGTTATGACACTGGTCTTGGGTTTGAATCCCAGATTCCAGCTGATTATGATCCTTGGTCTCTGGGTGCCGTACCAATTGTCACAGGTTTTAAAAAAAAGTAAACATCTGAGACCTGCATCACTTTGGGCTTTCCACCCAACACCTTCGACATGAAGTGATGTGACTGATATATTTTTTAAACCCACCTCTAGGACTGCTGTCATAGACATAAGACACTGATGTCATGATGCATGGTGCCCAGCAGAGTGACCAAGCTGACATCTTCTGTAAACCATGGATTGCAGTTCCCCCTGAATGGGTTTCCTCCTCCAACAGATGACGACATGATGCCCAGCGGGGTGACCAGGCTGACATCTTCTGTAAACCATGGATTGCAGTTCCCCCTGAATGGGTTTCCTCCTCCAACTAATGACGACATGGTGCCCAGCAGAGTGACCAGGCTGACATCTTCTGTAAACCATGAGGTGCAGTTCCCCCTGAGTGGGTTTCCTCCTCCAACAGATGACGACATAGTGCCCAGCGGGGTGACCAGGCTGACATCTTCTGTAAACCATGAGGTGCAGTTCCCCCTGAGTGGGTTTCCTCCTCCAACAGATGACGACATGGTGCCCAGCGGGGTGACCAGGCTAACATCTTCTGTAAACCATGAGGTGCAGTTCCCCCTGAATGGGTTTCCTCCTCCAACTAATGACATGATGCCCAGCGGGGTGACCAGGCTGACATCTTCTGTAAACCATGAGGTGCAGTTCCCCCTGAGTGGGTTTCCTCCTCCAACTAATGACATGGTGCCCAGCGGGGTGACCAGGCTGACATCTTCTGTAAACCATGAGGTGCAGTTCCCCCTGAGTGGGTTTCCTCCTCCAACAGATGACGACATGGTGCCCAGCGGGGTGACCCGGCTGACATCTTCTGTAAACCATGAGGTGCAGTTCCCACTGAACGGGTTTCCTCCTCCAACAGATGACGACATGGTGCCCAGCGGAGTGACCAGGCTGACATCTTCTGTAAACCATGAGGTGCAGTTCCCGCTGAACGGGTTTCCTCCTCCAACAGATGACGACATGGTGCCCAGCGGAGTGACCAGGCTGACATCTTCTGTAAACCATGAGGTGCAGTTCCCCCTGAATGGGTTTCCTCCTCCAACAGATGACGACATGGTGCCCAGCGGGGTGACCAGGCTGACATCTTCTGTAAACCATGAGGTGCAGTTCCCCCTGAATGGGTTTCCTCCTCCAACAGATGACGACATGATGCCCAGCGGGGTGACCCGGCTGACATCTTCTGTAAACCATGAGGTGCAGTTCCCCCTGAGTGGGTTTCCTCCTCCAACAGATGACGACATGGTGCCCAGCGGGGTGACCAGGCTGACATCTTCTGTAAACCATGAGGTGCAGTTCCCCCTGAATGGGTTTCCTCCTCCAACAGATGACGACATGATGCCCAGCGGGGTGACCAGGCTGACATCTTCTGTAAACCATGAGGTGCAGTTCCCCCTGAATGGGTTTCCTCCTCCAACAGATGACGACATGGTGCCCAGCGGGGTGACCAGGCTGACATCTTCTGTAAACCATGAGGTGCAGTTCCCCCTGAATGGGTTTCCTCCTCCAACAGATGACGACATGGTGCCCAGCGGGGTGACCAGGCTGACATCTTCTGTAAACCATGAGGTGCAGTTCCCCCTGAATGGGTTTCCTCCTCCAACAGATGACGACATGGTGCCCAGCGGGGTGACCAGGCTGACATCTTCTGTAAACCATGAGGTGCAGTTCCCCCTGAATGGGTTTCCTCCTCCAACAGATGACGACATGATGCCCAGCGGAGTGACCAGGCTGACATCTTCTGTAAACCATGAGGTGCAGTTCCCCCCCTGGATGGGTCTCCTCCAACTGATGACATAGTGCAGCACGTCCCTGATGTTTCCTGTCATCAGTTTTCTAGATTCAGACATGCAGATAATTGGAAGACATTCCATCTTGAAACTTCACCATCTCACATTTCTCCTTGTGTTGTGTTGCTTGTCAGCCACTTTCTGCTGGGTGGGTTTGTCATGTTTACTTTTTGGTGACATTAATGGTGGATGAGATTTATATATTCAGCAGTCATGGCTTCATCTGTATGTATTCAGTAGACATGGTGTATATCTGTGTATATTCAGCTGACAAGATTAAATACATTCAAGATATTTTTTTGTACCAAACACCCTCAAGGGGGAGGGTGCAGAATCTATACTACAAGTATAACATAGTTTACATAACTCATCATAGAAGGACTTACATTTTTGGCACAGTAAATAGAAAGGGATTAACAACAGCATTTGAAGAATTATGTAGCTACAGTTCATGCATTAATGGAGGTAGATATTCTGGACAATGTATCAGGATTAATTTATTATGATTAGATTTTCTGCTGCAATAAAGATAATCATAGACATGATGGTGTACTGTGTATGTATATTCAGTAGACGAGATGGTGTATATCTGTGTATATTTAGTAGTCGGATGGTGTATGTCCGTGTACATTCACTTGACATGATGGTGTATATCTGTGTATATTCAGTAGACATGATGGTGTATATCTGTGTATATTCAGTAGACGTGATGGTGTATATCTGTGTACATCATCTTGACATGATGGTGTATATCTGTGTATATTCAGTAGACATAATGGTGTATATCTGTGTATATTCAGTTGACATGATGGTGTATATCTGTGTCTATTCAGTAGACATGATGATGTATATCTGTGTATATTCAGTAGACGTGATGGTGTATATCTGTGTACATTATCTTGACATGATGGTGTATATCTGTGTATATTCAGTAGACATGATGGTGTATATCTGTGTACATTCAGTTGACATGATGGTGTATATCTGTGTATATTCAGTTGACATGATGGTGTATATCTGTGTATATTCAGTAGACATGATGGTGTATATCTGTGTATATTCAGTTGACATGACAGTGTATATCTTTTTACATTCAGTTGACATGATGGTGTATATCTGTGTATATTCAGTTGACATGATGGTGTATATCTGTGTATATTCAGTAGACGTGATGGTATATATCTTTGTAACTTCAGTTGACATGACGGTCTATATCTGTGTACATTTACAGTCCGTTTGACTCCAAATGAGAACGATGAGTTGCAAAATAACTCGCAATCCAGAAAAGTGTATGAAACATCAATACGGTACTTGACCATGAATACCCTGTACCCAACAAAATCTGAATTTTGTTTATTTTAAGACCCATGACGGATGAAGTTCTTTAAGAAACAATCATGTAATTTTGTATAGAAATGTGTACATGACAAGTAGGGGGGACAAACCGTGGAAGGCATAGCGCAAGCACGCATGCACTGCACGGTCTGTGGTAGGGGAAATGACAGAGCGTTAGAGGGGCCGTCTCATGGTAATTTCAGTCGCAATCTGACTCGCGCATGCCATAGATCTCGTCGTCAGAACTGCTGGTGCCTGAACCGACTGCCACTATTATAGGTTGGACTGTTGCTGGCCGTAGTCCATCTCGTGACCAATAAGGTGGCTCTATCTCGTCAACGACTGTGGCCACACAACGCCTCCATGTTTCTACTGTTACCCGACCAAGGGATTCCTTTACGAGTTGTTTTACGTCTTGTAATTTGAACGTTGTGTTCGATCGTCCAACGTCACCCTTGACAATGCCCCATACCAACTCGATTGGATTCAGGTCCTAGTGATAAGGTGGCAGTCGTAAGACAGCGTGACCCTGACCCTTGATGTAACTGTCAACTTTATACACGGGGTCAGGTTTCATAGTTTTGATGATTTCATAGAGCTGTGGTTTCGTCCCTTGAGAAGGAAAGGTAATGTTCCTCCGTTGCAGCCAAGTAACCATGTCTCCTTTACGGTTATTAGAGGTTGGAGTCTTGCTTTCTGGATCCTGCACACTATGATACGGTGCATTGTCCATGACAATGAGAGACTTGGTAGGCAAAGCAGGGACTAAATTATCTTTCACCCACTCCAGAAATACATTGCTGTTCATTTCTGTGTGGTAGTCCCTGTTGTCTTTGGCCTTGGCTCTAAAGACGAGGTCACAGTCTGGGAGAAACCCTGACTAGCAGAACCAGCATGGAGAACTATGAGTGTTTCACCCTTTCCCATTGGTAACTTTCTACCAGACTCCTTACAGTCACCACTGGGTACCCACTGACTGCTGGCTATGTGTGACGCATTTACCCATGTCTCATCTAAGAAGACGGGCTCATATCCTTCTGCTTGATGGTACGAAGGTAATGATTACGGAGACGAACAATGTCAGACTGTTCACACAACACAGCCCTATTTTCTCCAGTTATCTTTTTGTATTTGTAACCAAATGTATGCAACAGCTGCCATAGTTTGTACTTTGTAACACGTAAATCATGGTCAGTTTCAAGGTGTTTCTTCAAATTTCTTAGGGACAGGTACTTATTTTCTGAGTGCAGTTAATCAATTGCACGTCTGACTTGATCCCTCTGAAAACTGTCTAATTTATCAACCTTGCGTGGTTTTGACATGTTCCCTACCTCCTTGGCCTGACTATTTGTATCTCGTCGACTAAAAACATTTTTAAGTTTCTGAGGGGACATACCAAGAGCTTTTGAAGCTCATTTCAAGAATTTATTAATTGCATAAAAAGGCTTTGCTCTTTCTGCTTCACTTCTAAAGAAATCATACACATTCAACATCAACTGTTTAACATCTGCTGAGTAGCGCATCTTGTCATTGAATGAACACGGTCACTGTGTAGCACGTGCAGACTGTGCTTGCGCTGTTCCTTCCACGGTTTGTCCCCCCTACGTGTCATGTACACATTTCTATACAAAATTACATGATAGTTTCCTTGAAGAACTTCATCCGTCATGGGTCTTAAATTAAACAAAATTCAGATTTTGTTGGGTACAGGGTATTCATGGTCAAGTACCGTATTGATGTTTCATGCACTTTTCTGGATTTCGAGTTATTTTGCAATTCATCGTTCTTATTTGGACGGTGTATATCTGTGTACCTTCAGTTGACATGACAGTGTATATCTGTGTACATTCAGTTGACATGATGGTGTACATCTGTGTATATTCAGTTGACATGATGGTGTATATCTGTGTACATTCAGTTGACATGATGGTGTATATCTGTGTATATTCAGTTGACATGACGGTGTATATCTGTCTCTATTCAGTAGACATGACGGTGTAGAATACCTTGTTCACTTACTTCAGCAATAAACCGCACTCACTCAATCACTCACTCAATCACTCACTCAATCACTGGAACATTAAACCTCCCTGCATCCCTCACTCACTCTTCACTCACTCACTCACTCGACATTGAACTTCATTCAGTCCTTACAGAAACATTATACCCCTCCATCCCTCATTCACTCATGAATAAGATTAAACCTCCCTCTTTCCATCTCTCCATCCCTGCAGCCCCCCGTTCACTCACTCACTCGACCACATGAACATTGCTCTTCACTTGTCCCTCCATCCCACTCTCCCCCAGAGAGGGTTTGTAAGACCATGTCATTCGAAGTAATTTCTTTTCTGCCACATTTTTAATTGTAATCATAATATGTGTAACAATAATTGCCAACACCTGAAGGGATGATGTAAATCACTCACTCACTCACTCACTCACTCACTCACTCACTCACTCACTCACTCACTCACTCACTCACTCACTCACACCCAAACACCCACCCATGCACCCACGCACCCACTCACTCATTCACACCCAAACGCCCAAACACCCACCCTACTACTCACTCACTCACACTCATGTATACATGCTATTCCGGTAACTATATGAATATATCCCCCTGGTGCCTCCAGTGGTCCCTCCACTGAGCCCAACAGCATCCCATCACACTGCCAACAGCAGCAGAACAAATTGTGACCAGTTGTAAAGTAAAGAGCTCCCCAAGACATTCAGTCTCTCCAGGTGAAGCGGTACTTGCCATGCCTCATGACACCTGTCCTGACGAGTACAGGCCCACCTGGCCAGCTCTTCTGGAAGCATCTTATATTATCTTCTGACATTTGTACGGGGAATATGTAATGCCCTATCTTTTGTTCCTCCCCTGGAGGGGGGAGGGGGGGTTGATATTACAGTCAGATTGTGGAGCATCTACAGTTGCTGAAACAAAGATTATGGTGTAGTGTTCTTGCAAAGGGCAGAACAGAAATAGGAGAGCCAGGAACAGGGGTGGAAAATGACTGTTGGAACGTGCCGACATTTGTAGTTTGGCATTGACTCACATGTATTGCATATGTGTGCACAATGCACACAACTCGTGCACTTCCGCTGTTTGGAAATGTTTTTGTGGTTAGAAATGTAGACATTTTGATTAACATAAACTGATAAAGTACATCTGACTTAGGAAACTTTTAAATCTCTGTTGATGGAAGGGACAAGCATTGTTCAGGCAATAATTGGTGGATTTTCATTACAATCATTTTATGAGATACAGATGGAGTTTTATGTTTCAGTTTTGTGTTACTTGAAATTGATTATGTCATATCTTTTAAGGATTACCATGGTTACAGAAAAAGATGGGTGGTGACAAATGGCTGGTTGCTATAAAAAGAATAAATTTATTGGGTGTGGACTGACATTTGCTTTCACTTATTACAGACTGGTGTGAAAACATTGTGAGAATGTGGTGAGCATCACACTGATGAAGGAAGTGAAATCTGAAGCTGCAATCGAGGTTGCATTATTGTACATTCAGGCCAACTCTCACTGTCAGTTGTTAAATTGTGTTGACTGCAGTTCAAAATGATGAAGAAAATGACCCAATATGCTTACAAGAGGGATAGACTAACATCTAGTCTCTGAAATGAGCATATCATACAGAAAAAACCAGTTGTT